AGCGTTGTGCACCCAAAAAGAGTACCATTTAATGCTGAAACCCGGGTTCTTCAGCTCTTCAGTCTGACGCTCTCCCAACTGAGCTATTTCGGCACAAAGTGGTATACTGGACCAGTAGCCAAACACTATATTCATGAGTAAAAGACAATGAGAAGAAACAGGTTTTTGCTGAATCACGGACAAGAATCGTATTTTACAAATCGTTAACAACATGTTATATTACAATTGGCAAGGCGATCTAACAATCAAAGTGTTGTGCACCCAAACAAAGTACCATTTGTTGCTGAAACCCGGGATTGAACCAGGGACCTTCAGATCTTTAGCCTGACGCTCTCCCAACTGAGCTATTTCGGCACAAAGTGATTTTCTGGACCAGTGGACAAACATAATATTCATGAGTAAAAGACTTTGAGAAGAAACAGGTTTTTACTGAATCATGGACAAGGTTCCTATTTTAGAAATCACTTACTATAATTAGCAAGGCGATCTAACAATCACAGCGTTGTGCACCCAAAAAGAGTACCATTTGATGCTGAAACCCGGGTTCTTTAGCTCTTCAGTCTGACGCTCTCCCAACTGAGCTATTTTTTCACAAATTGGTATACTGGACCAGTAGCCAAACACTATATTCATGAGTAAAAGACAATGAGAAGAATCAGGTTTTCACTGAATCATGGACAAGAATCCTATTTCACAAATCATTAACAACATGTTACACTGCAATTGGCAAGGCGATCTAACAATCAAAGCATTATGCACCCAAACAAAGTACCATTTGTTGCCGAAACCCGGGATTGAACGAGGGACCTTCAGATCTTCAGTCTGACGCTCTCCCAACTGAGCTATTTCGGCACAAAGTGGTATTCTGGACCAGTGGACAAACATAATATTCATGAGTAAAAGACTTTGAGAAGAAACAGGTTTTTACTGAATCATGGACAAGGTTCCTATTTTAGAAATCACTTACTATAATTGGCAAGGCGATCTAACAATCACAGCGTTGTGCACCCAAAAACAGTACCATTTGATGCTGAAACCCGGGTTCTTTAGCTCTTCAGTCTGACGCTCTCCCAACTGAGCTATTTTTTCACAAATTGGTATACTGGACCAGTAGCCAAACACTATATTCATGAGTAAAAGACAATGAGAAGAATCAGGTTTTTACTGAATCATGGACAAGAATCCTATTTCACAAATCATTAACAACATGTTACACTGCAATTGGCAAGGCGATCTAACAATCAAAGTGTTGTGCACCCAAACAAAGTACCATTTGTTGCCGAAACCCGGGATTGAACCAGGGACCTTCAGATCTTCAGTCTGACGCTCTCCCAACTGAGCTATTTCTTCACAAAGTGGCATTCTGGACCAGTGGACAAACATAATATTCATGAGTAAAAGACTTTGAGAAGAAACAGGTTTTTACTGAATCATGGACAAGGTTCCTATTTTAGAAATCACTTACTATAATTGGCAAGGCGATCTAACAATCACAGCGTTGTGCACCCAAAAAGAGTACCATTTGATGCTGAAACCCGGGTTCTTCAGCTCTTCAGTCTGACGCTCTCCCAACTGAGCCATTTTTTTACAAATTGGTATACTGGACCAGTAGCCAAACACTATATTCATGAGTAAAAGACAATGAGAAGAAACAGGTTTTTACTGAATCATGGACAAGAATCCTATTTCACAAATCATTAACAACATGTTACACTACAATTGGCAAGGCGATCTAACAATCAAAGCATTGTGCACCCAAACAAAGCACCATTTGTTGCCGAAACCCGGGATTGAACCAGGGACCTTCAGATCTTCAGTCTGACGCTCTCCCAACTGAGCTATTTCGGCACAAAGTGGTATTCTGGACCAGTGGACAAACATAATATTCATGAGTAAAAGACTTTGAGAAGAAACAGGTTTTTACTGAATCATGGACAAGGTTCCTATTTTAGAAATCACTTACTATAATTGGCAAGGCGATCTAACAATCACAGCGTTGTGCACCCAAAAAGAGTACCATTTGATGCTGAAACCCGGGTTCTTCAGCTCTTCAGTCTGACGCTCTCCCAACTGAGCTATTTCGGCACAAAGTGGTATTCTGGACCAGTGGACAAACACAATATTCATGAGTAAAAGACTTTGAGAAGAAACAGGTTTTTACTGAATCATGGACAAGGTTCCTATTTTAGAAATCACTTACTATAATTGGCAAGGCGATCTAACAATCACAGCGTTGTGCACCCAAAAATAGTACCATTTGATGCTGAAACCCGGGTTCTTCAGCTCTTCAGTCTGACGCTCTTCCAACTGAGCCATTTTTTTACAAATTGGTATACTGGACCAGTAGCCAAACACTATATTCATGAGTAAAAGACAATGAGAAGAAACAGGTTTTTACTGAATCATGGACAAGAATCCTATTTCACAAATCATTAACAACATGTTACACTACAATTGGCAAGGCGATCTAACAATCAAAGCATTGTGCACCCAAACAAAGCACCATTTGTTGCCGAAACCCGGGATTGAACCAGGGACCTTCAGATCTTCAGTCTGACGCTCTCCCAACTGAGCTATTTCGGCACAAAGTGGTATTCTGGACCAGTGGACAAACATAATATTCATGAGTAAAAGACTTTGAGAAGAAACAGGTTTTTACTGAATCATGGACAAGGTTCCTATTTTAGAAATCACTTACTATAATTGGCAAGGCGATCTAACAATCACAGCGTTGTGCACCCAAAAAGAGTACCATTTGATGCTGAAACCCGGGTTCTTCAGCTCTTCAGTCTGACGCTCTCCCAACTGAGCTATTTCGGCACAAAGTGGTATACTGGACCACAGGACAAACACAATATTCATGAGTAAAAGACATTGAGAAGAAACAGGTTTTTGCTGAATCACGGACAAGAATCGTATTTTACAAATCGTTAACAACATGTTATACTACAATTGGCAAGGCGATCTAACAATCAAAGCGTTGTGCACCCAAACAAAGTACCATTTGTTGCCGAAACCCGGGATTGAACCAGGGACCTTCAGATCTTCAGTCTGACGCTCTCCCAACTGAGCTATTTCTTCACAAAGTGGCATTCTGGACCAGTGGACAAACATAATATTCATGAGTAAAAGACTTTGAGAAGAAACAGGTTTTTACTGAATCATGGACAAGGTTCCTATTTTAGAAATCACTTACTATAATTGGCAAGGCGATCTAACAATCACAGCGTTGTGCACCCAAAAAGAGTACCATTTGATGCTGAAACCCGGGTTCTTCAGCTCTTCAGTCTGACGCTCTCCCAACTGAGCCATTTTTTTACAAATTGGTATACTGGACCAGTAGCCAAACACTATATTCATGAGTAAAAGACAATGAGAAGAAACAGGTTTTTACTGAATCATGGACAAGAATCCTATTTCACAAATCATTAACAACATGTTACACTACAATTGGCAAGGCGATCTAACAATCAAAGCATTGTGCACCCAAACAAAGCACCATTTGTTGCCGAAACCCGGGATTGAACCAGGGACCTTCAGATCTTCAGTCTGACGCTCTCCCAACTGAGCTATTTCGGCACAAAGTGGTATTCTGGACCAGTGGACAAACACAATATTCATGAGTAAAAGACTTTGAGAAGAAACAGGTTTTTACTGAATCATGGACAAGGTTCCTATTTTAGAAATCACTTACTATAATTGGCAAGGCGATCTAACAATCACAGCGTTGTGCACCCAAAAAGAGTACCATTTGATGCTGAAAACCTGGTTTTTCAGATCTTCAGTCTGACGCTCTCCCAACTGAGCTATTTCTTCACAAAGAGGTATACTGGACCAGTAGACAAACACTATATTCATGAGTAGAAGACAATGAGAAGAAACAGGTTTTAACTGAATCATGGACAAGAATCCTATTTCACAAATCATTAACAACATGTTACACTGCAATTGGCAAGGCGATCTAACAATCAAAGCGTTGTGCACCCAAACAAAGTACCATCTGTTGCCGAAACCTGGGATTGAACCAGGGACCTTCAGATCTTCAGTCTGACGCTCTCCCAACTGAGCTATTTCGGCACAAAGTGGTATTCTGGACCAGTGGACAAACATAATATTCATGAGTAAAAGACTTTGAGAAGAAACAGGTTTTTACTGAATCATGGACAAGGTTCCTATTTTAGAAATCACTTACTATAATTGGCAAGGCGATCTAACAATCACAGCGTTGTGCACCCAAAAAGAGTACCATTTGATGCTGAAACCCGGGTTCTTCAGCTCTTCAGTCTGACGCTCTCCCAACTGAGCTATTTCGGCACAAAGTGGTATACTGGACCACAGGACAAACACAATATTCATGAGTAAAAGACATTGAGAAGAAACAGGTTTTTGCTGAATCACGGACAAGAATCCTATTTTACAAATCGTTAACAACATGTTATACTACAATTGGCAAGGCGATCTAACAATCAAAGCGTTGTGCACCCAAACAAAGTACAATTCGATGTCGAAACCCGGAATTGAACCAGGGACTTTCAGATCTTCAGTCTGACGCTCTCCCAACTGAGCTATTTCAGCACAAAGTGGCATTCTGGACCAGTGGACAAACATAATATTCATGAGTAAAAGACTTTGAGAAGAAACAGGTTTTTACTGAATCATGGACAAGGTTCCTATTTTAGAAATCACTTACTATAATTGGCAAGGCGATCTAACAATCACAGCGTTGTGCACCCAAAAAGAGTACCATTTGATGCTGAAAACCTGGTTCTTCAGATCTTCAGTCTGACGCTCTCCCAACTGAGCTATTTCTTCACAAAGAGGTATACTGGACCAGTAGACAAACACTATATTCATGAGTAGAAGACAATGAGAAGAAACAGGTTTTGACTGAATCATGGACAAGAATCCTATTTTACAAATCATTAACAACACGTTACACTACAATTGGCAAGGCGATCTAACAATCAAAGCGTTGTGAACACAAACAAAGTACCATTTGTTGCCAAAACTGGGGATTGAACAAGGGACCTTCAGATCTTCAGTCTGACGCTCTCCCAATTGAGCTACTTTGGCACAAAGTGGCATTCTGGACCAGAGGACAAACACAATATTCAAGAGTAAAAGACTTTGAGAAGACAGATGTTTTCGCTGAATCATGGACAAGAATCCTATTTTACAAATCATTAACAACATGTTACACTGCAATTAACAAAGGGGATTGAACAATCAAAGCATTGTGCACCCAAACAAAGTACCATCTGTTGCCGAAACCCGGGATTGAACCAGGGACCTTCAGATCTTCAGTCTGACGCTCTCCCAGCTGAGCTATTTCGGCACAAAGAGGTATACTGGACCAGTAGACAAACACTCTATTCATGAGTAAAAGACAATGAGAAGAATCAGGTTTTTGCTGAATCATGGACAAGAATCCTATTTTACAAATCATTAACAACATGTTACACTACAATTGGTAAGGCTATCTAACAATCAAAGCGTTGTGCACCCAAACAAAGTACCATTCGATGTCGAAACCCGGAATTGAACCAGGGACCTTCAGACATTCAGTCTGACGCTGTCCCAACTGAGCTATTTCGGCATAAAGAAGTACATTGGACAAGTGGACAAACAAATTATTCATGAGTAAAAGACATCGTGTGTCTGCAGCTCTCTTTAGGGTTGGGGCAAGTGGAAAGCTAGAGCTACGTGACAACCTGCAGCTCTGGTACTACCCTCCCCCACCAGCCCAGTCTCCCACAGTAGATAGGTTTTTTTCACATCCTCTCTTGCTGTTGAAAGTGCGGCTGGTTTGTACCAAACCTACATGTACAAGGCATCCACTTGCTGGTCTGTACAGGAGACCGTTTCTATAACCTGGTGACGGAGACCCTAATTTGCAGCAACTGTAGAGCCAGCTACATGTCCTCTTGTCAGAACATCCTCCAACAGCTGGACCTGGCCCACCGCTCTGAGTTCAGGGTCATCCTCACGCGCAAGTGAGTTATACACTGAATTAGTCATTTTGTTTTCCATTATGTTAAATATTTCCTTAAATAATGTATTTGAATACTCTTTCTAAGGTATGCCTGTGATTTGTGGGTCATCTGTCTGTTGCGTGATAGAACCCTTGGCAATGGTCCTGCCCGCATCGTCAGTCAGCTGAAGGAGAACCACAGTGAGAAGTGGCTTCAGAGGGCAGCAAGGTATGTACTGTAATACCCTGGAAATAGGAGAAAATAAACACAGAGACAATGTCTTGTTCCTTTCAAAGTATATCGATGACACAGGAGTCCTTTGCATTGCTCTTAATGCATTCTCGTGAGGCATGAGCAATTGAATACCCATTTAGGCCAGAGCAATTGGTATTAATGGAAACTTCATACAATTTGCATTCATTGTGTTACCACCACATATGTCATGCCACAGTTATATTAATCAGTTAAAATACAGTTATGAAGTTAAATGAAAAGTTTTATTAATAAGTTATGCAACTGTACCTACAGGTGCACCTGAGTGTGTGGCCTTCATGGCCAACCGTGGCCTGCTTCCGCCATGCTTCCAGGAACCCCCGCAGCTTGCAGCGGTCCCCAGCTACAAATGGGTCCTCACTGTTTACGGCCATGATATCCTCAACAGGCTTGAGGATATCAAGGCTCGTATAACATGTACACTTGGATCCATTTTGAAATTGGATTCCACTAAAAAGGTTTGAATTACTATTTGGATAACTGCATTCTCACTTTAATAAACTAGATTTAATAAGATTTTACAAATTAAATTAAAAACTCTCTAAACTATATTATGATATGTAATTCGGATGTCCAGGTGCACCTGTTGTAATAGAACTGTTTAATCATTTGTATTTTCAGATCACCAAGAAGCTGACGGGGCCTGCTAAGGGCACTGCACAATGGCTCACTTCAGTTGGCAATGAAGTGGGTCAAATACTTGTCAGTGTCCTTACAGCCCATGAAGGACCTGGATTGGACCTCATGGCTGCAGGCCTGATGGAGAGGTACCAGAAGACAGGTGTGGCTCCCCCCATTGTCCTGTATGTGGACTGTGGCTGCTGCAAGGCAGCAGGAGAGCCCAAGCTGAAGATACGCTTCAGCGGGTGGCCGGATCTCCTTGTTCGCCTAGACATCTGCCATTTTATGCGACGTCTGGCAGAAGGGTGTACCACCAACGCAAATCATTTGTACCCCACTTTTATGGCACGCATGTCAGCATGCATTTTTGAGTAGGATGCAGGTGACGTGGCTCTGCTGAGAAGGGCCAAGAGGGGTCAGCAAAATTGGCCTGACGTGACTGACAGGGAGCTGGACCGCTTTTGATGAGATTGACCCCCACAGCACCTCTCCTCCCTCCAGCGCCACTCTATTCTCCAGCAACTGGCCCCCTCAAGCACCTCTCCTCCACCCAGCCCCTCTCCAATCTCCAGCCCCTCTCCACCCTCAGGCCACTCTCCTCCCTCAGTCCACTCTCCACCCTCCAGCCACTTTCCATACTCCAGCCCCTCTCCTCCCTCAGGCCACTCTCCTCCCTCAGTCCACTCTCCACCCTCCAGCCACTTTTCATACTCCAGCCTCTCTCCTCCCTCAGTCCCCTCTCCACCCTCCATCTTCCAACCAGCCCCTCTCCTCCCTCAGGCCACTCTCCAGTCTTCAGCCACTCTCCAGGCTCCACCCACTCACGGCCCTTCAGCCACTCTCCAGGCTCCACCCACTTGCAATCCTCAAGCCACTTTCCACCTTCCAGCTCCTTTCATACACCCAGCCCCTCTCCTCCACCGTCCAGCCAATCTCCAGCCCCCTGCACCTTTCCAAGCTGTGGATGAACACAACATCCCAGGTATGGACAGAGTGGATGCACTTGCAGAGTACCTGGTGGAGCTCCGAAATCAGACAGGCCTCACCCTCAACAACCAGCAGGCCTACACAATAGTGAGTCTTTGGCAGAACCTGGAAAATTTTGACAAGCAGCGGGTGGTGTATTCTGCTCAATACCAGCCGAGGCTGTTGACTGGCCGCTTCCAGATTACCAGACAAAGATCTGATTTCACCCCTGGGTTGGAGAGCACCAAGAGGTGTGTCCTGGGCTCGACAGGCTCCCCAGCTCAGTGGCCAGACTGCTGCCGACTTATAGAGACCATCTTCGTCAGGCTATGTAACATCCATAAAAGCCCTAAAAAACAGGAAAAAGATTTTTACTGCTGCTCCACGTCTCCCGTTGCTAAAACACATTCTACAATAATGAAACATACAAAACTTTTAGTTTATTGTATTGTTGGATATATTAGGCTATGCATTTTAATAAAAACACTGCAAATAAAGAGATAAACACCGATGCTCCTCCTCCTCTCTGCAACTGGGTTTGTTTCCCCGAGGAAATCATTGAACAACACACACGCACGCACGCCAAAAACAACAACAACAAAAATACGGCTATCTATGGGCATGACAAACTATATAGCCTACAAAAATAACTGCAGAAATCCATAACAGATGCAGCGGCGAACGAACAAACAAACAGATGAACAAATGAACGATTGGCACCTTGGACAGCGCCACGGCATGTTAGGCACATACATGCGGCAAAAGTGCTCAGCCTTTACGTTGCACTTCCCATTTACAGGGCGCTTGCACCCCTTGCAGGAGACAATGGTCATATCTTTCCTGCAGTGCGTGTTTGTCTGACACTGCCTCCTTCTCAGCTCTTGTGGCTGCTGTGGTTCCACGGGCACCGACGTCAGACTGGCCTTGACACGCAGGTGTTCCTCTCTGTTCCTTTGCCAAGAATGAGCATGTATCTATCTGTCTATGGTCTCTATCTATCTATTTGTATATCCTATCTATCTGTCGCTCTTTGTTAAATTCCTGCGCATATATATGAAGTATATAAATAGAAACAATAGCTAATTAAAAAATAAAACGACGCGCAAAAACAATCCAGGGAAATGTATCATTTTCAACTGCCGTCTGTATGACGGCGGTGGCAGTTAGAGGTATAAATGCTCACAAATCTTTTGTGTTTTATTTTAGTTACACATATACAATATATAATATACAGGACACATATTTAAGAAAAGTCATAGAATGAGAGGCTTGTAGTTTTTATTTAAAAAGAGCGGTCTTTCAGACGTTCTTGGCGGTTCTAGTGTTAAGGAGCAGACCACTCTTCAGCCGGTTGAGGTGAACCAGACTACCCTTGTGCAGTGGCACAACAAACGCCTGAAGGCTTATGTGGTTGTTGTTCTGCTGAAAGGCGTGCAGCTCCCTGAGGCAAGGCCAGTGGCAGTGGAGCCTCTTTTGCCTGCCAACACACAGCCTGTTTCTATACAACCTCATCACCCTCACCATCAGCTACATATATACACGATGCCACCCAATACAGCAGGGCAGGCCAGAACCAGCCCATAGCTTCACAGCGGCAGCTGTTTCCTGCAGTACCACCTGCTCCTGTTGTGCCAGGGATGCGGTTGCTCCCCTGCCCTGTCCCTAGTTCTATTACCACCCCGTCCTCATTACACAGCACCACCACTGCCATCAATGAACCGACTAATGACCAATGCCAAGCTGCACCACCCAAACGTCCCTATAACCGGTCAGCCACATCCAACATATGCAAGAAATGTGGCCTGTTTCGCACCTCAGCCACTGGCCAAAGCCAATACAAGGGCAAAATATATTGCCCAAAAACGGAGACTCTGAGTAAAGAAGAGTGGTTGAGGGCCATGCAAGAGAGAAGCATATGAGCAGAGTCTCGACATTAAGTTGTAGCTGTTTCATTTGTGTTTGTGGCTGCAGAAATCCTTCGTACTCAATTTGTATCTGATTCAAAAGTAGAGATTCAAGTTAAAAAAAAAATATATTAATGAAGAGGAATTCCGTTTTTTTAAGTATAGTTAGACCTTTTGTCAGTAGTGAGCCTCTTTTCCTAATTTTTGTGATTTCCCAATCAGCTCTCTGTTCTTAGAGTTTTTTTTTTATTGATGTTTATTATCATTATTGTTATTTATTATAATTTAATAATAATTTATTATTATTTTTCACTGTTCTTAATTTGATTTAGATTGC